AAGTCAGTGTAGTTTTAGATCAGTTGTTGTAACCCAGTATCTTTAGTCAACTCCCTTCAAAAGTGTTAGCATCTTGAACTTGTAAGACTGCAGACGCTTGCTTAACGCATGCAGGTGGAGAATAGGATGAAAAACCTCTCCCTTTCTTTACAACAATAAATAGAAACTCTAACAACCTTTGTTCATTTTCTACCTTATTATTGCCACCGCCTTGTCTCCCACAATAATCTTTACTACTGAGAAGAAGTGAGACGGCCTGGTCCAGAATTATAGCAACAGTTATTCACCCACAGATGAGGAACAAGCTGAGGGAGGTGTGCAGAGGTGTGCTACATCTTTGAGCCTCTGTTTAGTCTGTAAAGGCCTCAACAGTTACAAATAGAAATTTGTAGTATGTCTATGCTGTCTTACATATACTTGCTAATGCTAGCTTATGTCTGTATACTATATGTATACACAATAAAGCTAACAGTAGGCAAAAACAGAACGCAGTTTTATCCCCCCAAACAAGGTTCATCATGCTGAATTTGGCTGAACTTGGCAGCTAGAGGTCAACATCAGCAGGACTTGTTATTTTTATTTATTCATCAGCAGGGATTGTTTGATTTTCGTCATCAGCTTTGTCTCTCAGCTGTCTTTCTTGGATCATATCCAAGTGGAAATGCAATACACAATATTTGGCCGCTTCATGACCGTAAAGTCATCTTTGTTGTCTTTATACTGATATCCAGGTGTACAGTGTATGCTGCTCCTCCAGCTGCTGCTGCACAAAGTACATGACATACAATGCACAGATACCAGGGCTCCCTTGTTAGAGCCAAAGGAGTCATTAAAAACAATAGCTTTCTAGAGTGATGCAGAGGTTCTTTAATCATTTTAATTGAGCTTGTATAGACTAATGCATGTGAATTGTCTGATGTAATATTTCAAAACACTGGACAGAGTTTTGGTAACATTTCAGTATATTATTGACTGCTACATCATCACTACTTGCTCAGACATTGACATAAAAAGTAACAAGGCAATGCATTTGAAATTACACGTGTTCCTCACAAAATGCACTCGGTGGATATTGTCAGGGGATTACTCTTGTGTGGAATATGAATATGTGTACATTTTGTAGTTTCAGAATAATCCCTCAAGAAGTCACTCAGGCATTTCACCCTGGACCAAGTTATTGTAAAGAAGGACAGAATGGCATCACCAGAGAGCCACAGCATAGATAATTAAAATTAATTGTGTGCTCATTTCATAGATGATCAACAGGGAAATAGTGAGCAGTCCCTCTCCTGAAAGTTATGCTCTCTGAACTCTCCTGGTCTTAATCATATGCTCTTTGTATGCTTTGATCCATAGTAGTCATAGTAGTATATATATATATATATACACTATATTACATATACTTGCTAATGGTAGCTTGACATACTCACGGCATATGGATAGAAGCTGAACAAGTGAATTATGAAAAACAACAGGAACAGATATCTGAACCCTCAGCCATGCAGCAGCGTGTCACAGTTGCCATAACAGACTCATCGAAAATCTTGAGCGTTGTCCAACAGATGTTAAAAAACCCCTCAGCCATTTCACAAAATAGAGACAGGGCTAGCCCTTCCTGTACAGTTCAGTGGTGTTTTTGTCTCACTCCAGTTTGTTGTCAGTGTGTACTCCAAGTTATTTATAGTCCTCCACTATATGGATGGAAACGGGGACCACAATCATTTCACTGGTCTTTGTCACATTGAGCTGCAGATGGTTCTGCTTGCACCACATGTCCACTGATTCCCTGTGGTCTGTTTCATCACCTCCACTTATTCATCCAACTACCGCAGAGTCATCAGAAAACTTCTGAAAATGGCAGGTGTCTGTGCCGTGATGTAAAGGGTGAATAGGAAAGGGGAGAGGAGCGTCCCTTGTGCTCCCCGGTGTTGCTGATAACCTTGTCAGCCACACAGTGTTGAAGACACACATATTATGACCTTCCTGTCAGGCAGTCTATAATCCAGGGCACGAGAAGGGCATCCACCATCCATCGCTTTGAGTCGTTGAGCTAGGAGGGTCAGCCTGATAGTGTTGAATGCACTGGAAAAAAACATGACCCTCACGGTGCTCGCTGGCTGGTCCAAATTGGTGAAGACATGATGGAGTAGGTAGATGATGTCACTATGAGGTGGGGCTGGTAAGTAAAGTGAAGGTGGTCCAGATGCGGCCTGACTATAGGTCGGAGCTGATCGAGGGTCTTCGTGATGTGGGAAGTCGGCGCCGCTGGGATGTGACGTCTTTGCTACAGCATGACCTCTTCCACAGTAGGCCAATTGATTTCCTCGCTGTGGGGCTCACAAAACGCCTACCAGTCTGTTGCCTCAGAGCAACTCTGCATTTCCACTAGGGAAATACCTCCTAATACTCCTTGTGGTCACAGGTTTATTCTTCACAATAAGCACATATGGGGGTGCCGAGTATGGCCTGGAAGTTCCGGGGGCAAAATGGGATAAGCCCCCAAAGGTGATCGGGAATAACTGAGCTCAGATCCTGTGGGACTTCCATATACACACAAACTGGTGATGGCTGACCAACCTGGCATTGTAGTGGTGAAAAAACAAAGGAAGAAGGCCCTAGTGATAGTGATATCAATACCAAGTGATAGCAACATCAAGAAGATGGAAAACTTAAAGCTTGAGAAATAGGATTTGATAGCATCCAAAACCTCCATTGTCAGCAAAAGCAACCAGTTTTGGATAAAGCTTGTTCCAGCATTCGGGCTTTAGAGATGTTCTTTTTCATGTCCAAACTCATAGCAGCAGTAAAACGCTTTGAAAGTGTTGGAATGGGAATTCCCATCAAATTAAAAACAAGCACAAAGTGAAATTAACAGTATCATTTTGTACTGAACATTTAAGTGAAGCAGAAGGTCATCACTTGCCCAGTTTGGATAACTTATGTTTTCTTTTGTGTGAAATTAGATTTTTCATTCTCATTGATCATATCCACATTCTCCCTTTTAGTATCTACCTTCGGGCTCTTCCCAGTATTACCACACATTTGCATTTTCCAAGTATATTTGGCCCCTTTATTCTTCCCTCAATATTTCTTGTTTCTATTCAGTTTTTTGTGTCTTTTTTCCATCATGAAGAATGTTTAAATTATGAATGAATATTTTTTTGTTGTAGTGTTTATAAAATATGTACTTTGGATCTTTTCTTGTATATTGTGTGTATATTGTATAAGAATGTTGTACGGGTTTTGCTTTGTACAGCACTGTGCAAAGTTTGGGAACTGGTCTACTTTGTCAGGGATGTCAGAATTTGAAATTCTCAGAACTTTTCTGAGTATTTTTTTCTTTCTGTATTATTTCTACAGTATCAGAACAATCTACTTGTCTTCTTCATTCATGGGTATACTGAAGAGCTGAATACTGAAGTACTTCTAAGTATGTGTCCAGAAACAGAAACATGTAAATAAGAGGGCCATGACGAATCATCGTTTGTACTGCAACTGATGATCAGGTCAGGGAGAGCCCTGAGGGCAGCGTCGTGCACTGTTTCTTGGACTGCATGAAGAGACTGACCGTGCTAAATCTACAGAGGAACTTTTTTCCCGGCTTCTTTATTAAAAGTATCAATTAGTAATACACTGCATTTGCACCACCAGTTACTACACGTGTCATCATTTTAACCAGGACTGAAATCCACCAGACTTCCACTTTCCTCTGGTAAAAACACGCAGTTTTGCTCGCGTCCTTGTGATCTCACAGGAGATGATTCGAATGTTCAGCATTCTTGACATACTCGCGGCATATGGGTAGAAGCTGAGCAAATGAATTATGAAAAACAACAGGAACAGATATCTGAACCAGTTATCTTCTATTTGCTGTTGTCTGTCTGCTGTCAAACTGTTGAACTACATCCAAATACATCCAAAATACAAGGAGGTTGTGTTAATAGTATTGGCAGAATATTGCTTTTAATCTAATATGAACCCATCCTGTCTGTGCGTGTGTCTCCACAGTATGTCCCAGCGGAAAGTTTGGTAAAGCCTGTGCCGAGACCTGCTTGTGCACTAATAATGGCACTTGTAACCCCATCGATGGCTCCTGTCAGTGTTACCCTGGATGGACCAGCGAAGACTGTTCTAAGCGTAAGAGGAAACGTTTATAGCCGTTTTTGTACCGTAGCATTTATTAACTTCAGTTTCACAAAAGAACAAATAAAATGTATGTTGTTATTCACCCCACGTGTTTTAGTTGATCAGTGAGAGACAGCTGAAGAAAAAACCTTCCTAAAGGCAGTCACTGGAGTGGCTTTGACATTAATTATCTTTCTTACTTTGAGCATCTACCACAGTCACTCAATTATCTGTAAGTTTAATGAGGGCACACAGCATCCTAATGTATGTCTGGTCTTCACTGTGGCAACATTTGACATATTATCATGTATTTATATATTACTAGACTTATACGTGTCTAGATGAATTGAATAAAAGAGAAAAAAGAGGAGAGAATAAAGTGCCCATGTGCAGAAGTGAATCCTAGTAACGACACGTTGACTTGCCCAGTTTGCTGTGACGGGGCATTATAGTGTTGCTGTACAAGAGTGTGCTGACTTTTATTGCATACTCTGTGCACTGTATGTGTCTTTGTGCACTTATTTTTGTGTGCTTCTGGCAGCATGTCCTTGGGGCTCATGGGGCCTTGACTGCATCCACACATGTACCTGTCACAATGGAGCTCAGTGCAGCGCTACAGATGGAGAGTGTATCTGCAGCCCTGGATGGACAGGACTCTACTGCACTCAGCGTATGTTTCTGTCTCTCTCACACACACCGGCAGTTCATATACACATACAGACCAAGCAAAACACTCTGGCTGCTGTGAGAGCTCATCACTAATGCACACTCACTAGTTGCAATGTGTTAGTACCTCAAACCTTTAACTCCATCTAGTGACAGGTGAAAAAACTGCATACCCTTGAAATCCCTTCTTCTTATCTCCTCAATTCCTTTGTGGTTTCTAGTTTCAACACTGAAAAAGATTGAATTTCTCCATTTGCACTGCAAATTGCTGTCCAATTTGGAGTATTTGACTGAAGCTGATAGCCTCGTTCACTTGATAATTCATCCTGCTATTTCTATGAGCAGTCACATCATCAGTGAACCTCCAAAAGTTGATTCTGTTCAGTCTCAGCTGACTGCAGGTTTCCCCGATCTTTGCACAATGACTGAAACTAGCACCACCGAAGGAACGATGGGCTGGGAGGTCAGTTCCTTGATCATAATTATCACGATTCGTATGGGTGCTTGAAATCCTTGAAAATGCTTGAATATTGTCTTTTCAAGGATTGAAAAGTGCTTGAATTTCAGATGTGGTGCTTAAACGTGCTTGAAACGCGTATTTCATTCACCACAAACAACTATCTGACCGAATAGTTTTCTTATCAGAGAAATAAAATGAGTCGCAAAGTGTAAAAGCTAAATTTCTCCGCCTGGGCTGCCTCGCACACATGTCAGTCTGTTTCAATGTGTGACCCCGCCCCTCCCTCCGGACAGTCGGGGGTGAGTGCGCTAACTTGACGTTGCTGTTTTAATGAGTGTTTGATGGAAAACGACACTGGCGGGATTTGAGTCACATGACAGGTGAGTCCTAGTAAATAATTTCAAGTATGTGTACATAACACAGGCTAATGTTTAAAACTATGATTATTATTTTGCTAGCTATCAAACTTGCTTAACTAGTTAAAGTACCAAACATCTGTCTCCTGTTGTTGTGTCACGTAAGAAAGAAGCATCAATATCTGATGAGCAGATTGTTCATTTGTGCAGATTTCTTCTTTTGTGTGGTTGTTTTTTCCAAGTGGAGATGAGCATCTCTAACAAGTTGATTTGTTCACATTTGCACATCTGCATTTTTGAGAGAAATGAGTTTTTTGAGTTTGTGCACTATATGCATATAAGACAACCATTTCCTTTTTCAGTATTTTTGTGTGGTGCATTTTTCTCTGTTTTAACAAAAGAGGAACAAAGAACATTTAAGTCAATCTAAGATGATTTGTTTTAATTTTTACATGGTCTTACTGAGGTGATGCAAAGTGGAACATGCAATCTTTTTTTTGGTAATGTGCTGGAAAAGCTTGATAATGGACCTTGAAAGTGCTTAAAAAGTGCTTAAATTTGACCCTGAACAATGCTGATGAACCCTGAATTATGCAAATGTAAGATCAAAGCCCACCAATGGCCATGAGTACCATTCACTGGCTGCAATCACAGCATTGTAAGTTGGTGAAAGATGTAGCCTTAGGCCCCCTCCTCGATTCAGAGATGGTCTTTCCCTTTTTACGTAACTTGCAGTCAGCTGAGACTGAAAAAGTCACTTGGATGAGTGACGAAACATCACACTAGTGACCCAGTTCCACTGATAGCCATATATGTCCATGCAATAGTATTGCCTCTGCTATCTTTGACATCTTTCATCAATCATGTGCTGTACTTTGGTAAAGACCCTAAATTATTAGAGAAAAAAATTCCAACAATCAGATGATCCCCTACAAGGATCCCTTAAGGACCACTTAGTGATGATGGGAAGAAATCAGGCACAGGGAGGGACAGCTGTCTGCACAACAGGTTGGAGGATGAAGGGAAAGAGAAGAGAAAAAGAAAAATGCAGGGAGAAAAAGACAAAACTACAAATCCAATTCTAAAAAAGTTGTGAGATTGCTTTATGAGAATGCATCTCATAAAGCCATGTTTTATTCACACTAAAACAGTTTACTATTTCATGAAAAATATTAGCTCATTTTGAGTTTAATGTTGTGAGCATGTCTCAGTGGGGACAGCGCCAACAACAAAAACAGGAAACATAAGTGATACTAAAAAAATATAAATATAAAAACAGCATCTAGTAGAATTTCTCACAAGGAAAGATCGGCAGGGGTTTACCAGTTTGCAAAAAAAA